TCCCCTCCACATTCTGACTCTCTTCAGCGGTGCTACAGCCATTAACATTTCCAAAGGTAATCCGTGCGTTCAAAACGTGAAACAAGGGGATTTCTGACAAAACAAAAGCTTCTATCAGGAGACTTCACCGAGAACAATAATCACTGGCTAGCACCATGCAAAGCACACTCTATCAGCAGGTTTCCATCAGGCTTAGGGCAGCACCACATACATACACATACACCCAGTCCACGGATGGGAAAACTGAGACCAAGTCAGACCCACCTTCTCCCAGATGACAGTGAGTAAGTGATCAAGACAGGAGTCAAGTGTCACGAATACTCAAACACCCCAATCCAAAATAGCCTTGTCCATACTAGTCCAAAACCAAAGCATGTGGATGCATGGGAAGATCTTAGTGTCAAATGCTTTCATCCACTAATTATCTAGGGTGATAGGTGAATCTAGGAGCAATTACCTTACAGGAGGATGGGTAGTGTGCGCGCGCGCACGCACACACACACACACACACTCACACACGCAATTATTGAAGTATTAACAAAATATTAAAAAAAAATCTAAAAAGTTCAAAATAAAATTATCCAATTTGAAGTTTGCTTACATTAAAGGTATGACATCAAAACAAGATTCATATTCTTTATTTGGGGGTGGTTCTTGTTTTATGATATAGGCCTCATCATGTAGCTCTGACCTGCCTGGAACTCACTCTGTAGACCAGGCTGACCTCAAATGTATACAGATCCGCCCACCTGCCTGGGTACTGGGTCAAAGGCGTGCGCCACCACTCCTGGCCCTTCTCACACCTGTTAGTACCGTCCATACACAGACACACTAGCTGGGAATCTGTTCATTTTGATAACAAAAGGAATCAAGCAGCATGCCAAGTCTTCAAATACAGTCAATTCAGATGATAATTCTGGCCTCTCCATTCTTGTTCTTTTTGGTTTTGTGTTTTGAGACAGCGTCTCTTTATGTAACCCTGGCTAGCTACAACTCACAGAGCTCCACCTGCCTCTGTCTCTAAGTGCTGGGATTAATGGTGTGCGCCATTAATTTGGCCTCCCAATGTCCCTTTCTTTTTTTAATGTTATTGGTTCTTTTGGGTCTTCCCCATTGCCTTTTTTTTTTTTTTTTAAGACAAGGTCTCGCTACATAGCCCTGGCTGTCTTAGAACTCTCTCTGTAACCAAGCTGGCCTTGAACTCACAGAGCTCCACCTGCCTCTGTCTCTAAGTGCTGAGATTAAAGGTGTGCGCACCACAGTCTGCTGCTAATTTCTCTAATACGCTCCATTTCCCTGACGTGCACTGCCCCCCTCACAAACAGGCAAACCTGCAGGTACCCCTCAATTCTATTTAACCATACCTATTTTGACAGGGAATCCAGGAGGAAAGTCCAATTTGATGAAATCTCTCAATCTTGCAAAATGAGCGCTGGTCCGAGCCATGAGGTCGATGATGGGAATGACCTGTTCCACGAGGGAGAGCGGGAACTCTTCGCACATCCACAGTGTAGCTTTAAACCTGTGCGGTTTGACAGGGCAGGGCTGAGGCCAGCTCCCCTGGGTGGGAGAGGCAGGGCACTGCTACTCAGCAGGCTAGACACACCACCCTCTGGAACCCACACCTGCTCATTACCCCTCAGCTGAGGACTTGTGAGAGCCCGAGGAAGTCGGCTCCCCTGAACGCTGACAGACTTTCATTTGATCAGCTGGGGTTTACTGGCAGTGAATAAAACAGAGCCTTACAGGACAAAGGCGCTCTTCTCTCCCTGTTCTCTAGACAAAGGCCACACGGAGAGCCGTTCCTGTTAGACTTTGTCAGGTTAAGTAACTTCAACATTCCCTTTAAAGGGAAGGGCAAGGAACAGCCAAAGCCAACGGAAACTCAGTTTCGGAGGGAACACGACAGCCTCACCCTCCACTTACTTCTGTGTTCGGATCGTCAGCTCCTTTGGCCTTCCAATGTCCCTGTCTTTCAGATCAAAGTCTTCGTCAAAGTACTCGTCGGGTGTGATGGCCGTGGGGTTGTTCACGGTGGCACACTCCGTAGTGAGGTCCTGCTGAGCCAGAACTCAGGGGAGTCACAGCTGCCCGGCTGAAGTGCAGCCCCACAAGGGGCTTCACTAAGTCCGGTTACGGCAGGAACAAGCAAGTCTAACATAACAGCCCCGGGTTTGGTCCCCGCCCTCTTCCCATCTTTATGTGCTGGGTAGAGAAGACAGCCAGGGGAGCCAGTGTGGGATGTGGGATTCTAGGACCTACCCTTTCTCCAAAATCTTGATGTTTCAAAGTCCCCTTCATCTACTTCTCTCCCCCCAGATGTCTGTAGTACACCTCGGGAACTGAGGTACTTTCCAAGTCAAGTGACCTACTCAGGACCCAGCGGCCGCCATCACAAACAGGAGAAGCCCTGTCTTCAACTCACCCCTTGAGCACCAAACTGATGTTCCACAGTTCCCAGCAGAGACTCCAGTGGATTCCGGTCCTCTAGAGAGGAAGGAAGATAAACAGAATCAAGGCCCTCGCAGCATTTCCCGGGTCCTGATCCAAGCTCCCGACGATTCCATTTGCAGGCAGGGAGATAAAAACCACCCACAGGGTGAGTTTATCCTTAGAGCATCCTTTCATTAGCAGCTTTAACTTGGAGGGACCATTATAAGAATCCAAAGGACTGGAGGGATGGCTCATCAGTTAAGAGCACTGGTTGCTCTTCCAGAGGTCCTGAGTTCAATTCCCAGCAACCACATGGTGGCTCACAACCATCTGTAATGAGATCTGGCGCCTGGCCTGTAGGCAAACATGCAGGCAAAACACTGTATACACAATAAATAAATCTTTAAAAAAAAAAAAAGAATCCAAGCAGCATCACCATAGAAACCATTGTTATATGTGATTAACATAGATCACTTAGGAAAGTGGGGGAAAAAAAAGAATTCAAGCAGAGTAGTTTTAGCACCTGGTTTGGAGGAGAGCTGGTGTGGATCTCTGCCACCCTGGCCACTCAGGGCTGTGCTCTGGCTCTAGCCTGCCCACCAGGTGCACAGCTGGTGACCACGTCACTACCTGCACGTTCTCAGTGACCAACAGTGGTCAGCAGCACCTCCACGTCACTACACAGGAGGATGAGGCCTCCAGCAGGACAGCTTCACAAGGCCACGGAGCTGGCAAAGCCAGGATGTAATAACCCCATACCCACGGTGACTCGGCTAAGAGCCCGAGTTCCAGTACCTTCTCTCTCTCCATTTTTGTTGTTGCTGCTGCTAAATCCAACAGTTACTTGTAATAACACACAGACACACCCTCGTGAATGGTTTTAATTAAAACAACTGAAACCAACCATGAAAAACTTCAAGAAAAAGTCAAACTAAGGAAATTTTTACAAAGAAAAGTTAGGATCTGTATGTCCAAGCACATTTAGCCCAAACTAAACAGAACTGTTTAGACCAGTGGTTTTCAACTTGTGTGTGGGTCACTACCCCTTTAAGGGGTCAAAGGATCTTTTCACAGGGGTCGCCTAAGACCACTGGAAAACTCAGATATTTACACTATCATTCATTACAGTGGCAAAATGACAGCTCTAAGTAGCAACGAAAATAGTCTCAGGGCTGGAGACAGCACAGCACGAGGGACCTGGGTAAGGCGCTGCGGCAGTGTTAGGGGTGAGGCGCTGCAGCGTTAGGGGTGAGGCGCTGCGGCGGCGTTAGGGGTGAGGCGCTGCGGCGGCGTTAGGGGTGAGGCGCTGCGGCGTTAGGAAGGCTGAGAGCCGCTGTTCTCCCCAGCCAGGCAGTCGGGGGAGGAGGCAGGGCGGTGCCGATTACCTTTGTACCTCTTCTTTTCCTCCTCTGTCAGGTGCTCCGTGCGGATTTTGGTGATCACACTCACATTGTTGACCGTGTAAACCTTGAGGTGTGTGTGCAAAAGAGAACAGTGACACAGGCGTCAGCCAGCTCTGGCACAGAAAGTCCAAGAGAGCTGAAGCAAAACCCAGCAAACCCAGCCAACTAAAAGTGAGACCCGGTCACCAAACCCAGCCTCCCCAACCCCTGGGAGCCCGGGGGACGCAGCAGCACTACCTGCCCTTCTCTGTGCCCTTCTTGTTGCTAAGGGCTCAGCAGGCAGGTATCTATCTTGCAGACAGGGCGGCTGCACTGGGCGCCTCTTGATCCTAACCTGCCTCCTGTGCTCCGGGGTGCTCTATCACAGTCCTGCCTTAGCCGAAGCCAGGATCTCTAGACCTGGGAGACAGAGAGCACCACACCCTTTCTCCTGCCGGCCTGCCAGGGAGCTGGGCCGTCGTGCCGTCTGCGGGGCTGGTGTGCTGTGTGCTGGCAGCTGCCCAACTGTCTGGAGCCCAGCAGCTGTTTCTAAATGCAGCATCCGAGCATGATGGAGCGGATCTGCTCACCCAGAGGCCAGCAGAGGACCCTACAGCACCTGGCTCCCTCCATCCCCGCCGCCGTACACTAAGGAAAGTCCAGCAAACAGCCTGTCAGCTGATAAAATACCAGATGACATGACAGGCATCCCTCTCAGTTCACAGATGCTATGTAAGTGGGCTGGGATGCATCAGCTCTAGAAATCAACTAAAACCTAAGTAACAAAGATTCACAGAAGCTCCTTACTAAATGGCATAGTCTTTAGAAAAGACAAACTGGTTAAATTTAATGTAAAAAACAGAACCAACAATCATTTTTCTTTAGGAAAGCTGTGGATCTGTTCACTGAATGCTATCCCATTTTCTGAAAATCAGTTAAGATAAAACATCAAGCTGGGTGGTGGTGGCGCACGCCTTTAGTCCCAGCACTCAGGAGGCAGAGCCAGGCAGATTTCTGTGAGTTTGAGGCCAGCCTGGGCTACAGAATGAGTTCCAAGAAAGGGTAAAGCTACACAGAGAAACCCTGTCTCAAAAAACAAAAACAAACAAAAAACTATCAGGTAGGAGACACATTGGATTATTCCCCAGGGATCCTCTCGCACAGATGCATGAGAACAATCAGAACAGATTCCTCATTCGCATAGAAGCTAAAAAGCTATAAGAAATCTTATTGTAAGAGTTTCCTTTTACCTTGGCTTCGTAACCATTAACAACTTCTGCTTTATCTGTCCTCCAGCCCCAGAATCCGGATTTAGTTCTGATAAAGAGTGAACACCACAAATTTCCACATGTACAGTATGCCATTCTGAGTTCACCCCACAGCCTTTACAGTCCCCCAGCTTGAGTTAGTCAAGGACACTTGGAAATCATGGTCCCACTGTCCACAAAAGGATGCTACCAATGACAGATGGCTTAACCCCGCCCCCTCACACGGTTATCAATCAATTTGCCTCACTCCAGCAAAGGAAGCCTCCACTTCTGGCTTCTAAACAGGAATTGCCAGTACAGGGGACAAAGGTCGTGACATCTGTGGACAGCTATCCCAAAGAAGTAAGTGGAGATGACCAGTGTCCGAGGTCTCGCTTGCTCCAAGAAGGAATCTGGGTCAGAGCATTTATCTGGGTCATCTCCTGCAGGCAGGGGCGTAAGAGCCTCCAGCTCCATCCAGGAATTCTCAGAAGTGAAGCCCAGAGCTCCCCGCCGCTCCCCGCCTCTTGGAGAAAGGCAGATGGAGGAGGAGTGGCCATTAAAGCTTTCACAATGACTGCAGAGTCTCGTGTCCATCAGGTCAGGTAGAGGAGAGGGGAAGGACATGAAAAGTGGCTGTTCAGCCCAGCCACTGATTCCCAGCTGGGCAGCGACTTCTGAGGTACCCCAGGGTGTAGCTGCAGCAGTAACATGGGCTTAGAAACCCAGCTACCCAAGGCTACACACTTCTGGGGGAAAATGTATTCAGGATCCAAGAACAGCCTCTAGGTTCTGATTCTTTTTCTTTTATGTGTGCTGTTTTAAAGACAGATGTTGCTATGTGGGCCAGGCTGGTCCCAAACCAGAGAGCCTCTTGCCTCCACCTCCAAAGTGCTAGAATTACAGACAAGAGCTTCCTGCCACTCCTGGGTGTGAATCTTTTCAGAACACCTTGCCCCAGGAGGTGCACCGTAGGAGTCATCCAGCCCTTTGCTAGGATATCACACCTAGCTTGGCCTGGCACTGTGCGGAGCGCTCAGAAGTCTACCCTTTGCTCTGTCTGACCGAGTGAAGTGGACACAGGAAGCTCAGAGGACGCTGGTGGGTAAGCCAAGTCACAAAAGCAAAATGCAGCTTTTAAATTTGGTGTTTTCGGTTCCCTGTCCAATGGAATTTGGCCAATCAAATCAGGGACATAGTGAGTTTTATTTGTCTGTTTTAACCCATCATAAAAGGAAGACCACGGATGTTAGTTTTCCTCTTGGGTGTCTACAATCAGTGCATCACGATCCGCACAGCCAGAGATGGGGTCCTGCAGGGACGGTGGCAGATGCCGGCTACTCTAGCTTACACTGCAAACGAGACCAGGGGCTGAACCACGCCCAACTGACTACAGCCACAGCTCCCGCTGTCCGTCACCAGTAACAAAAGTCAAGATACTCCTTTTAGTTAACTAACTCGTTCCTTATTTTTGCAGACATTGATGTTTTAAGCTGGGAAACTGCTGTTTCCAGACACGCAGCCTGAGGGGTGCCGACGCTGCTCCCTTCCCTGCTGCATTGGTGCACCTGCATTAGTACGCGGTGGGCCCTCCACTCTTCACTGTCCACACTTGCTCTCGCACAACCCTGGCTTCTGCTGCCCCTCGCCCTTTGCAGTTCCGCGCTGACAGCGGCTGAGTTAGAACGCTCAGTGTCAGTGTCTAGTATTTTAGACCCGGCTGCTAAGACGCCTTGTGCCTCCGTTAGCTTGGCGTGCATGGGCGTCTGAAGATGACAGCAGCCAGCTTCCTCCTGCCTGTCCCCCTGAGACCAACACACCGAAGGCCACTTAGCAGGCACTGTGACTTGGTGACTACTACATAATTTAAAGGCAGCTCTGAACTGGCAGGGTGTTTTGTTTTTTTGATATGGCACAGCATAATCTTTCAGGAAAAGAGTAAAATCCCAAGTGCCACCAGCCAAAGCTCACCAGGGAGGGTAGTGATTTGTAAGGGTCAGTTTCCTAGTACAGACTCAGGAAAAGGACAGAAGTAAACGGTGTAACATGGCAAAGAACCACGAGGAGCACCACAGTCACGATGGTCCACACATCTCTGAGTCAGCAAACCTCCACTCGGGAGCGGCCCAAATCTCTCCTAATGCCTGAGTTCCCAATCGCGTCCGAGCGTGATGCAGACAGAACAGCGCAGAAGCAATTGCTGTCTTGTGGCCCAGCTGCTGCAGCCCACTGTCAGCTCCAGGGGAGTCAGCTTGACCACACGGACACACAGCGTACCTTCGTCCTCAGTACAACGGAAGACACTCTTGTTTCCCGTCTGCACTCATGGACTCAAGCCAGTCCACACACCCTGGAGAAGCCACACTTCATCACAATGGCTCCAACAAATCCCCATGAGCAACAGAGAATGGCAGCCTCAGGGTGGGTCACAGGCCTCGGGGGCTGTGTTCTGAAGCTCACTTGCCTGTCTTCCTTCCAGCTGGGGAAAGTGGAGGGCCGGGCCACTTGCCCACAGCTACTGCTGTTAGTCGCCCTAACTCACCATGCTGACAGGCTGCGGCAGTGACAATGGCCTCCTCCAGTCCAGAGCCTCACACTGAAGGTTCTCCCTGCCTGTAGAGGCACATGCTGAAGCCTAGAGACATCTAGCAAGATCTCACAGTCAGTCCCTAGCTCTCAGTGTCCCTAGCCAGGAGTCTTCAAGAACCCAGTTCCTACTTCCAAAGCAGAAGTGGCCCCCAGACAGACACAACACAGGCTGCAGGCCCTAGCCTGGTACAGACACTCTGCTTTCATGGCTTTATTTAAACAAAAAGAAAAGGGTAATTATGTTTTAGATTTGACTAAAGAGACATCTCTCAGTTTTCTTCACCGATTGTATAATGGAAACAGAAGAAAACAATTTTAAAGAGATCAGTTAGCATATTCATGGGAGGAAGGAATGCCTAGGTCCAGAACAGTGCCCAGATTAGCTCAGGTTACAATAAGTCTCAGGCAGCCAGATGTGACATCCTCGGCAAACACTGCAGACTCCCACGGCAGAGACACATGACAGTTTCTACCTCCTTCATACTCCAAGTACCCTGTACATGCCCGGCATGCCCCACAGGTAGATGCTATGACCAGTGTGTCATTGGGATTAATCAGGGCACAGACCCCTCTGGAGAGCTATGCTCATAGGAACTGGGAAGAACTGAACACCTCTGAGACTCTTCTACACATTGGGCCTCATAGGTGGGATTTGGGGGTCACAATACATCGTAGTAAGTATAAATTTGACTGCCTAATGTCAGTACAATGTCAATGCCAATTCTAGCTTCAGGAAACTCAAAGATCCACATTTTGGGATGAAGTAGTGTTGTGCATTCAAAACTACCAAAACAAAAACAAGATCCAGAGGACCCAGAAGACAGCGTCCACAGAAGCACACGAAGATGAGGCTTAGACACCACGCTACAAAAATGATGTACACAGGACGTCAGCTGGGAGTCTATTTGGTGAGCATTTGATCACGCTAAACCCACTAGCTTTAAGCACACTGGGAAGAACAAGTCCTAACCTAGTCACAGCTCCAGTTACTGCAGACATGCCGTTAAAGAGGCAGGCAGGCCCCGGCCGATGGTGAACCGGAGTCCACTCCCTACCTTTCAAAGGCGATATTCTTAGTGTCGAGGCTGGTGTTGATGACTGGGCTCGTGAGCCGCCTCTCAACCTCCCTGCTCTTTGGCTTCATGAGGTCCAGGGTGAGGCGCTCCATTTCTTGGGAAAGGTCGAAGTGTTCAGTGGTGACCACTCTGTCATCGTGGTTGACTTCCATCAGCTCCGCCCAGTTGTCTGTCAACAAGAGCACCAGAGTGAGGAGGAAGCACATGGCTGGGAGACACAGGCGGCAAGGCCACCCTCACCCCCACCCTCAGAGCACCTACAGTGCGCTCGTTTGGTCCACACCCTCCAGATGCCCGCGCACCTCAGGGTGACAGGGGGCACACCGCCTCTGAGCACCTCAGGGTGACAGAGGGCACACCGCCTCTGAGCACCTCAGGGTGACAGGGGGCACACCGCCTCTGAGCACCTCAGGGTGACAGGGGGCACACTGCCTCTGAGCACCTCAGGGTGACAGGGGGCACACTGCCTGAGCACCTCACCTCAAGACCCCCGGCTGCTCACTCTCCGTGCACAGTGTTTGTCTGGTCAGCCCTCTACAACTTGTAGGAGACCCCAGAGCATCTTCCCCGAAATGGAGGTTTTAAAACTAATTTTCCAACACATTTCACCCATGACCTTTAGAAAACACTGCCACAGAGCTGACGTGAACGGTCTGTTCACCACTCTGGTGAGCAGGGCTACTTGTGCCTTCACTAGAGACTCGTGCCCGTTCTGAAGGGTGTACTGAACCTCAGGAAAGTGAGTAGCTCACACGTGACAGACGACTCCACCCACCACAAAGATGAAGTCCCGAACAGATAAAGAATAAAATACAAACACATTCTGATGGTTCACAATTACTGTGCTACTCACTGGACATGGTGGTGCACACCATCAACCCCAGCATCAGGAGGCAGAGGCCAGCCTGGTCTACAAGGAGAGTTCCGGGCCAACCTGGGCACCACAGTGAGACCCTGTCTCAGCGACAGCAACCAAGTGACCCGGGGCTTGGATTGGGCAGGGATTAGGACAGCGGAGTCACTCACCTCCTCCCTTAAATATGAAACTTCGTCTCCCTCTTATCCAGCTCATGTTCTCAAACCCCAGCAGAGTGATGTCCACGCGCAGCTTAGCACCACTCTTCCAAATGCGGCAGACATCATTCGGGCAGATTCTAGAGACCAAGGGCACTGGAGGGGAGAGGCGCATTACTGAATAGAACACAAGGACTCAGCAGAAGGCGTGAGCCAGGAACTTGGGGTTCTGACGTCAGTAAACGGGGCGGATGGTTCAGTCATGACCGCCCAAACACAACTGGACTTCCCCTTTCCCACTTGTACAGGAACTCATCCTGAGAAACAGAAATGGAAGCTGGGCAAGCAAGGCGGGGCAAGCCTCCACTCATAGCACTCAAGAGGCTGAGCAGGAGTTCATTTTGAAGGTAGTCTGGGCCACATAGCAAGTTTGAGGCTAGTCAGGACAACCTAGTGAGGGCATTTTAACTAGAAAAAAAAAAAATTAAGTGGCTGGAGTTCGATCCCCATGATAGGTCAGTTGCATACACTAAGTTTAATCCCAGCAGCACAGACAGACAGACAGACAGACAGACAATAATTAGGAAGGCTAGAGGTGTAGTTCACTAGTAGAGTACATGCTTAGTATGTATCAGGCCCTGGGGCTGAATTCCCAGCATTAAAAAAAAACAAAAAATATAGAAAAAAGAGCCTATTTCAACACATCAGAGAAAACAGTAAACAAATTTCCCAGCAGTCTTCTTGGCCCAGACTGACCCTCCAGGGCTGAGGAGTGTGCCCATCTGGACTTCTCACTCACACGCCCACTGCTACAAGGCCACAGTTACCACATTATAGCCTCCATTCACAGTATATCAAGGGTCTAAACCCTTTTTTTCCCCCTGAGACAGGGTTCTCTGTGTAGCCCTGGCTGTCTGGATCTCACTCTGTAGACCAGACTGGCCTCGAACTCACAGAGATCGCCTGGCTCATCTCCTGAGTGCTGAGATTAAAGGCGTGTGCCACTACCACCCGGCCCCTGATGCTTTTTATCAAAGCTGGAAATCCTAGTGAGATGGAAAAGCTATAAAAACCAAATGTTAGTTCACTGGCCTACAAGAAGGAAAAGCAGATACCTATGAAAATATATCATCAATTACCTCACAGAGTATTCTGGGGAAATACATGCATTTTGTAGAAAATTAAATTAAAAAAAACAAAAACCCAGAGAAAGAAAACTATACTAATATTGACTCATTTCCCCCAGAATAACAAGTTTGAAAGAATCAAGCTAAACAACATAAGAAAAGTAACAAATTATAGTAAATCACGAAAATGATAGCACTACAAACAGGCATTAAAAACTAGTAAGATGGCCAGGTGGGAGTGGCAACGCCTTTAATCCCAGCACTCGGGAGGCAGAGGCAGGTGGATCTCTGTGAGTTCAAGGCCAGCCTGGTCTACAGAGCGAGATCCAGGACAGCCACCAAAACTATAAGGAGACCCTGTCCCGAAAAACCAAAAAAACTAGTAAGATGGCCAGGTGGCTGGGTGGAGCAGTACCCGACTAGTCCTAGCCAAAGCAAGGTTACTTCAGCCCAGGGTCCAGAGGCCACAGTGAGACCCTGCTTCCTAAAGAAGCTGTAGGCTTCAGCACACACTTATAATCCTTGCATGGGAGGCCAGGGGCAGGAGGACTGACAAGAATCTGTGGCCAGTATGGGCTATAGCAACCCCTAAAAATAATACAACCCAATCACACCAATAAAGCGGGTGTCAGGGATACACAATGCAGGGGGGACAGAAGCGTCTGTCTGCTGCGTGTACACATGTTCTGGGCCAAAGTCGGACACTCAGAAAGACAGACTAGAGGAAACTGAATGAGAATGCAGGTCATCTACCAGATCTGGATTTAAGACACACACACACACACACACACACACACCCAACCCCCCCACGAGCTTTTGCAAAGGAACATAAACCTACCAACAGGCTATTTAAATTTGGAAACACATAAATTCCAAGCCCACAGCCACTCACCCCAGCTGGTGAACTCCCATTTCATCTGCACATAGAAATCCGGGGCCTGAAGGGCAGACAAAGGTTTAGAATAGGTGACCCATGACACGATTACTCAGACAAGCACAGCAGGGTTAATGTGGCTTCTTCAACAATGAAGGGAGGAGAGCGAGCAACCGTGAACACACTAAACCAGTCATGGGTGTCTCAACTGTCCCTCCGTCCTGATGAAAACCCTTCCAGACAGCCAAGAAGGCTCAAAGGCACCCGGTGGCCGGCTCAGCAGGCAAAGGTACCAGCAGCCAAGACTGGTGCCCAAGTTCCTTCTCTGGGATCCACACGGTGGTGGAAGGAGGGAGCCAGCCCCACGGAGTCCTGTGACACCCACATACACGCACCCACACCCCAAATAAGGAAATGCCACTTAAAAGAAGAAAAGAAAAGGTTAACAGAAGAACAGTGACTGGGTAGGATGGAACCAAGGTTAACCTTACGTGGGACCAGCAGGCTCCCAGTATTAGAGAATTAGGAATGGCTGATGCCTATTCACCGCCAAGAGAAGGAATTCAGTTCTGGCTCTTCTCAGGGAACTTGAGTGGAAAGGGTGGATGTGCTGGGAAGTCCTTCACATTGATTGGCCAACAGTACAGAATGGCAAGGGAGGCCGACACTACCTCCTCAGGAGTGGGTTCCCTTCGCTTAACCAACGTCTCGGTTTCCTCAGAAACTTTTAGAATTTGGCTTTCTGAAGTATTATGCCACCACAGCATCCTTGTTTTAGGACTGTGTGTGTGTGTGTGTGTGTGTGTGCGCCCCTCATTAATTTCTTACAGAAGGCTCTTGAAGAGCTACTTAAGAAAGCCAACTGATCATCCAAAAAGAGAGACCCCCGGGCATAGTGTTGCATGTGTTTATCCCAGCACTTGGGAGATAGAGATACGAAGGGTCTCTGAGTTCGAGGCCAGCCTGGTCTACAGAGTGACTTCCAGGACAGCCAGGGCTACACAGTGAGACCCTGTCCTGGAGACAGTACAGGTCAGACTGTCTCCTCAGTCTCCCGTTACTCTTCCCCTCTGCACTGGCTTTTGTCCCTGTATGGAGCAGAAGGCAAGGAAATCTACCCTGAGTGAAAGCAGCCAAGATTTTAATTACTGGGCGAAGACAACATCCAAGGGTAACTGGTAAGAAAGGAATGTTAATGTATGTTCTAAGAGACAATGCTGAAACATACAGCCACCAACAATAGCTTCTGGTGCCACTGAAAATGGTTTACAGACTGTACCCTGAAGCGTCAAACACGGAGCAATGTCACCAGTTCACTTCTAACGGTCAATACAGGTCTTCAAAAACAGTCTCTACATTCCATCCTATTTCTTCCCTGTCACACAGACAACTGAAAGGCTGGCACATAGCACAGTGCACACAGTGCACACAGCACACGCCTCCCAGGCCAGAAGCCCTGACTTCCACCCCAGCACTCCGGGAACCAGGCGTGGCGCACGCCTGGGATCCCAGCCCTGGGAGGTGAGGTGGGAGGACAGTCAGTCCTGGGCTGACCAGCCTGAGCCACATGGGATAACTGCTTCAGGAAAAAAAGACAAAAAGCAACAGAACACAAATGACTGGGGTCCGCTTACAGTAGCTCTGATGAAAACACAGCGGAGCCATGTGACCTCTGCACACCCCTAACCGGACATCCGGTTTTAAAAAGCGTATCTAACTACTTCACACTGCACGGGAAGTGCTTTTGTGCTTATCTGAGAAAAGAGTACCTTCCCAAGCTTTCTCTCGCTTCAGAAAACCGTTCTGAAGAGTGCTCAGACAATGGCCGACGGCTGCTTTACTTCTAGCCGACCGAGTTCTTCCTCCTCTCCAAACAGTCATTTTACTCAAGAATGTCCTTAACTATTACTGTAAAACTGATCACTAGCTAGTAGCTAATTAAGTCACTTCCGTGCTTAAGCTGAGACTCTGGAACACTGAAGATGGCGTCTCCCCCGCTGCCTTCTGTCTGCTGCTGCCCGGGGTGGGCGTATCACAGGTGCTCCCGAGAGAGCCCCCAGATAGCAGAGGTCAGCTACAGAATGACAGCCATCACCCCAGACTACCCTGGAGGCTAGGAATCCCCGGTCTTTAAAGGAAGACCCCAGAGCCATAGCGCTCTCACAATGCGATTCACAAGATGTCCCCAAAGCCAGTGACTGCCGATGAATGACGGAAATGGACTTGAAGCCATACCACTGGCTACAAGTGACCAGAGTGCTGAGGAGATGCAGTACACAGACCCTGGCAATGGCCACACAGCAACTGTGCCCATCACTATTTCTGTGAGGTCACCTCAGCACAAGGCGCCCTGTTAGGAACATAGGCCCTAGGTAAACTGTCGGCACTATTGGGCAACAAAATACCATATACACTATTCTTCTTCTTTCTTTCTTTCTGTCTTTTTTTGTTTGTTTGTTTGTTTGTTTGTTTGTTTGTGACAGGATTTCTCTGAGTAGCTTTGAAGCCTGTCCTGGAACTCCCTCTGTAGCCCAGGCTGGCCTCGAACTCACTGAGATCCGCCTGGCATATTCACTACTCTTAAGGAAGACACACAAGGCCATGGGGCCGTCTCCCACGGTAACGGCAGTGTCTGGCTCAGAGGAAGGCATGCGCAGTCTTACGATTACCTCAAGAATCTTGTGTAGCAGCTCAGGTACACCTCCAAGGGCCATGGATGTGTTATGGTAGTCTCGGTGTTGCAGGACGGTGTAGACCATCTCGGGATCACCCGTGCTCACAGCCTCATGCAGAACTAGGAAACAAAAGGGCAAAACTGAATCACGAAGCATCCTCATGTTCTCTGACAGATTCCTGTGCCAGCATGAAGAGCCATCTGTGGAGCTCAATATGTGCCTCAGAGAGGCAGAGGACTGAAGCTGGAGTTGATGAGGCATGGCCATGACTTCTGATAACCAACTCATCACTTCATGAAAGAAAACAGCACACTTACTGGCCCGATCACACCCCTCATGCACTCACACCGACGTGACTACACTTAGCTCTGGCAGGTAGGACTCACCTGCACACACAAGTGTCCTTGCTTGGCCCACACAAGACTATTGTCTCTGATAGTAAGAGGGTGTCCAAACAGCGAACACCAAGAGGCTACTTCTGGCATTCATATCTTTGAGTTCACCTACACTGTGGGCCTCAGTGCAGTCCCACCATACCAGGGTAAAACTGGCATCACTGACAGATGCCAGAAGGACCATTTCTGGGAGAGGAGTCACCCTCCACTGAGGGGGTCAAGACTGTGAGAATCAAGCTTTCTGGATTCATGTTGTCATCGTGCCCAGCTGACAGAGAGGAAAATTACCCTGAGACTATTCATTTGCAGCCAGAAACATGGAGATGACTGCTTGGGTAATATGTATACTTGCCTGTCCATCCCTGGCCGTTCTCTTTGGTCACATCTGCTTTATGTCGCAGCAACACTCGAGCAGATTCCAAATGCCCCAAAGAAACCGCAAGGTGCAGTAATGTCCGACCCCGTGGGTCCAGAGCTTCTGCATTCTGTGAAAATCAAACAATGCATTCATATATTGGACATATATAGAGAGAGCACGAAAATCTCACACTGGCCATACATAGAGAGCACGAAAATCTCACACTGGTCATATATACAGAGCACGAAAATCACACACTGGACCTCCATACAGAGCATGAAAATCTCACACTGGTCATATATAATGAGCATGAACAGGCAGGCACTTGTGAGCCTCACGAAGTGTAGAAAACAGAACACACCACACACACACTTCAGCAACAGATGCTGCAAGGTGTGTGTGTGTGTGTGTGTGTGTGTGTGTGTGTGTGTGTGTGTGTGTAAGCGCGCATGTGAGCACTGGTCAAACACGAACATGGGACCAGAAACAAAGGAGATGGCCAGTGAGTTGGCTGGGTTCATTATTGTTTGAAACAGGTTCTCAGGCAGCCCAGACTGGCCTGGAGCTCCTCCTCCTCCTCCTCCTCCTCCTCCTCCTCCTGCCTCCACCCCCAGGTGCTGGGGTTTCAGGAGGGCACCATCACAGTGCTCAAGTTCTTCTTTTGTTTTAGCTAATTTTTTAAACAATGAGTTCCTGTTTCTATAAAGTTATGGGCCTAATAAACAAACAAGACTCTAGGCCTCATGGCTTCCACCATACACCATAATCTTCAACACCATTCAAGTGAAACCTAAAGAGGCCAGGGCTGTCAGGGAGAACAAGCGCCCTGTCCACCGAGGGTGGTGACTTCAAGCACGGGCCAGCATTCGTGTTCAGAACAGGAAGTGCAGGCCTGCGGTCAGAACTGAAAGCACGGGACATCAGCTGGGTCCCATCGGGACGTCAGTCCTGGGGCGGCTGCTACAAAGCAGCACAACAGAGGTTGTGTGCTGAGTTCCACAGGCCCAGAAGGGGCGCACAGCAGCAGCTGAGGTCTCCGTGACTGTGAGTGAGCCCCGTCAGGCACGCCTGTGGACACAGTGTGGGGAAATGGGAGAAGACGCACAGCACACACGCGGGGTCTGCGCTCTCCCTTCCTATTGTGCTCCCAGAGCTCTCCTCTGGAGCACCGGAGCCAAGTGACCGAGTCTGGTGTGGTGTCAGTGTCCCGGCCTGCCTGCATGGCACAGCTCGGCACAGCGTGGCAAGTTCTTCCCAGGACTCAGTGAACTGCTGCGGACGGAGGGAACAAGAGCCTTTCTAGAGGCTGAACATCCTCGGCAAAGGTGAGCTGCCTTGAACCACAGCTGCTCGGGTCAACTGTCGTCTCCAGCAAATGCCTCACAGGCTGCTAAGGAAAGGGAGGACGGGGGTGAGACGGAGGGTTAACGGCCACGCGCTGACAGTTACGCAACCTCCTGTTCTGCAAAATTTTATCACAGCTATGTGCAATGAAGAGAAGAACTGTTATCGAGGAAAAGAAGTGGGAAGCAGTGTGCTTGCTGACCCGGAGGTCCCTGGCCAACCCCAGGCCTCGGCACTCTCCCAGGTGCTAAAACAAGATACCCCCCTTTTTTTCATGGGGTATAGGTCCCAGGAAACCTGTGAAAGCCTGAAGCTAAGTACAGTGTGAACCGCATAAATGCACTGTGCTTTTCCTACACATACATTCATACAATAAGATGAAGAATTTTCACCCAGCAGGGCAGCCCATACCGTTAACCACAGCACCCTGGAGGCAAGGGTATGTGAATCCCTCTGTGTTCAAGGCCAGTCTAGTCTACAAGGCAATTTCCAGGCCGGCAGGGCTGCATAGTGAGGACCCTGTCTAAAAAATGAATTCATGAAGCTGTCTCATCTTTGCATGAAAGGACCGGCTTTAGCTTCCCCGTTGGCACATCCCAGGTGCCAGTATCATCTTGTTCTTTGGGGACAGTAGTGAAGTAAGAGGCGTCTGAGCACCAGCATGGTGGTGGCTCTCCACCTGCAGAGCGGCTGCGCCCAGCGGCTGGCTGCGTAGTGACTGATGGAGAGCAGCACACGGCGTGGGCTTGCTGGACAAGGGTGGCCCATGTCAGCAGCAGGACTGGGTGCTCGGCAGGGATCTCATCACCCTACGCAGAGCAGAGCAGCACACAACTGGAAATGGCCGCGTTCTCTCCGGAATTTCCCGCTCAGTAGCTGCGGACCATGGTTGATCACGGGACTCCACTTTCACTTCTGTTGCTGTGGTGAAACACCCGACTAAAGAGCAGTTTACGAGGGAGGTTTATTTGGCTCGCCATTCCAGGTCACCAGGCAGCGCTCTGGGTAAGCTGCAAGGGCAGGAGCTTGAGAGGACGGCGGGTCTCATCACAGCAGTCAAGAGCAGAGAAACACACACATGCATGCTCACTTGCCAGTTCTCAGCTTCGTTTCTCCACTCTTTTTTAAAAAAGATTTCTTTATTTATTTTATGTATGAGTGCTCTATCAGCATGCACACCTTCATCCCGGAAGAGGGCACCAGATCCCATCACAGATGGTTGTGAGCCACCATGTGGTTGCTGGGAATTGAACTCAGGACCTCTGGAAGAGCAGCCAGTGCTCTACACTGCTGAGCCCTCTCTCCAGCTCCAATTTCTGTACTCTCAGCACATTTCCGAACCCCCTTCACAGGGAATGGTGCCACCCACAATGGGCTGAGTCTTCCCACATCAACTAAGCCAATTAAGACAATCCCTACAGACACACCCACTGGCCAACCCAGCATAGACATTCCCTCCGACTCTCTTCCCAGGTGATTCTAGGTTGTGTCAAGTGGACAGAAAGGAAAGCCCTGAAAACGGGAGACCACTGCACCATCATGTCTCTATCTACAGTCCACACCCCTGCCAGGGTTCCCCGGACCTCACCAAGGGTATGGCTAGACCACTGCACCATCATGTCTCTATCTACGGTCCACACCCCACCAGGGTTCCTCACCAAGGGTATGGCTAGACCACTGCACCATCATGTCTCTATCTACAGTCCACACCCCTGCCAGGGTTCCTCACCAAGGGTATGGCTAGACCACTGCACCAAAGAGATTGAACTATAAAACAAAATGGGGTCTAAGTATTGTATTTCTTAGCTCCTGCCATCCTAATCTCTAACTTGCATTAAATAACTCTTTTCCTAAAAGTAGCAGGACTATGAACTTGTGAAGCTGGAACACAGTTGAAGCTTAACAGTGAGGAAGTAATTAGCAAACTCATTAGCATCCCTTCCCCTCCATTACACACACTCCATCCTCAAGTGCAGTCTAAGCCAGCCACAGGCTCGGCCCACTGCAGCCAGCCACACAGGCCGGCTTCACAGCTTTTACTGTGTTTACCATAGAAAGGGAACTACTTACTCCTCCACACCCAGAAACCGAGAAGCACCGACCGACTGAGGCTGCCACAGCACTCACCTCCTGGGCAGTTATCTCAGACATGATATAAAACATAAGACCCAGATCACTAAGCTAGCTTCCTTCTGTCCCAAACCACAGAAGGAAAGGACACATTTCGGCATCACATTTTGCATGGCTGATGAGAATTCTTCGGGCTTACCAGGCCTCCCTTTCCAACCTGGAATGAGAAAGGCACGAAGAACCCCCCCACCCCACCCCATCCCCGGTTACACTATGGTGACAATGTGATTTGAAAACTATGGGAGACTAGAGATGAGGGAGAAATAAGGAGCTCTCAAACCAACAAAGGCAAAGGTCTCCAAAGTCCTCCACTGCACTGACAGATGCTAAGAAAAAGCTCTGGGTTACTAAAATCAAGAATGAACGCATGCGTCTCGGCATGTGGGAACACTTCCCACACAAGCTCACCTCCTGAGGGCTGTCCCCAGAGCCCAGGTCAGGAGCAGTGGGCTGGAGAGATGGCTCAGCAGATTAAAAAAAACTCATGCTGCTCTTGCAGAGGGCTCACACAGAGGGAGCTCACAACCCCCTCTAACTCTAGTTCCAGGGGAATCTGCACCCTCTTCTGGCCTTGCTGAGCATCTGCACTCACATGAAACACACGCCTACAGAAGAACACAGGGTAACATACGTAAAATGTAAAGAAATAAAAGCATCTCTTCTCATAGGATGATGTACACAGAAAACCCTAAAGAGTACACTACAAAACTAATACTAGCCGGGCGGTGGTGGCGCACGCCTTTAATCCCAGCACTTGGGAGGCAGAGCCAGGCGGATCTCTGTGAGTTCGAGGCCAGCCTGGGCTACCAAGTGAGCTCCAGGAAAGGCGCAAAGCTGCGCAGAGAAACCCTGTCTTGAAAAAGAAAAAAAAAAAAAAAAAAAAAAAAAAACTAATACTAAATGCATTTAGTATCCACACACTCATCAATGTTGCAAGATAAAAGATCAAGGTACAGCCACGGTAATGATGCACACCTTCAATCCCAGCACTCAGGAGAGAGAGGCAGGAGGATCTATGAGTTGGAGGACAGCCTCTACAGAGCCAGTTCTAGGACACAAAAACCTTGCCTCAAATAAACAAACAAACAAAAACAACCAAAGAAAAACCGAACCAAAACAAAGAGATCACGGTATAAAACAAAGCCAACTGCATTTCTATACACTTGCAAAAAACAAACAGAAAACCTTAGGAAAACAATGCTTCGTACAACAGCATCAAAAACAATAAAAAACACTTGAAGGAAAAAATGAAAATAAAGACAAAGCTCACACTCTGAAGGGTCTGAAGAACCACTGAAAGAATTTTTAAAGAATTTAAAGAAACATTAGCACAGCTGATGCTCACGGTTCAGAAGACTAGCTAGAGACAACCTATGCTGAACTATGGTAGAATCAATGCAATGCCCATCAAATCCCAGCAGGTTTTTGTAGAAACTGACAAACTGATTGTAAATTATATGAAATGCACAGAACCCAGAGTCATCAGTATCAAAAGAAAAGCCAAGGGATAGAGAGAAGGCTCAGCAGTCAGGAGCACCAGCTGCTGGGTACCATCCCCTGCAGCCACAGCAAAACTCACAGCTACCCATAACTCCATGGGCTCCAACAATCTCTTCTGATCTCTGAGGGCAGGAGGCACACACATTGCGCACA